GGTGTCCACAGCTTCCGCTTTGTCGCTGCCAATGGCACCTCCAAGGTGGTTCGCTACCGCTGGAAGTCCCAGCAGGGTGTTGCCAGTCTGGTGTGGGATGAAGCTCAGGCTGCTGCTGGTAAGAACAGCGACTACCACCGTCAGGATCTGTACAATGCGATCGCCAACGGTCACTACCCCAAATACGAGGTTAGTCCCCAATCCGGCTCCTGTTCACTCATAACCTCGGTCGCTGACAATCCTCTAGCTGCAAGCCCAGATCATGGATGAGGCTGACATGCTTCGCTTTGGCTTCGACCTCCTGGATCCCACCAAGCTGGTCCCTGAGGAGGTTGTCCCTTATACCCCTCTCGGAATGATGGAGCTCAACGCCAACCCCACCAACTACTTTGCTGAAGTTGAACAGGCTGGTGTATGTATCACCCGTTGCTTTAAGCTTCAAGTCAAATTCTAATTTCTATAGTTTCAACCCGGCCACGTTGTTCCTGGCATTGACTTCACCGATGACCCCCTGCTGCAAGGACGTCTGTTCTCCTACCTAGACACCCAGTTGACCCGTCACGGCGGTCCCAACTTTGAGCAAATCCCCGTCAACCGTCCCCGCAAGCCCGTCCACAACAACAACCGTGACGGATTTGGTCAGCAGCAGATCCCTACCAACAACTGGGCTTACACCCCCAACACTATGAGCAATGGCTACCCCATGCAAGCTAACCAGACCCACGGTCACGGCTTCTTCACCTCTCCTTACCGCTACGCCTCTGGCCACCTCATCCGCGAGCCCAGCCCGACCTTCCACGACCACTGGTCCCAGCCCGCCATGTTCTGGAACTCTCTGATCCCCGCTGAGCAGCAGATGGTTGTCAACGCCATTGTCTTTGAGAACTCCAAGGTCAACAGCCCCCACGTTCGCAAGAACGTTGTCAACCAGTTGAATATGGTCAACAACAACCTTGCTGTCCGTGTCGCCCGTGGTCTTGGTCTTGACGAGCCTTCCCCCAACCCGACCTACTACCACTCCAACAAGACCTCCAACGTCGGTACCTTCGGCAAGCCCCTCCTCAGCATCGAAGGTCTGCAGGTTGGCTTCCTCGCTTCCAACTCTCACCCTGAGTCCATCAAGCAGGGTCAGGCCATGGCCGCTCAGTTCTCTGCTGCTGGCGTCGACCTGAACATCGTCACCGAGGCCTACGCCGATGGTGTCAACACCACCTACGCTCTCTCTGACGCCATCAACTTTGATGCCCTTATTATCGCCGACGGTGTCCAGAGCCTCTTTGCCTCTCCCTCCCTCGCCAACCAGATGAACTCTACCGCCACCTCTACTCTCTACCCTCCTGCCAGACCTTACCAGATCCTGGTCGACTCTTTTAGGTACGGTAAGCCCGTGGCTGCTGTGGGTAGCGGTAGCGCTGCGCTCAAGAATGCTGGTATTGATACCTCCCGCTCTGGTGTGTACACTGGCTCGAGTGAGACCACTGAGAAGATCGCCAAGGAGGTCTTGAAGGGACTTTACACTTTCCGCTTTGTGGATCGGTTTGCCCTTGATGAGTAAGGGTGTTGTACATGTACTCATGATCATCATTGATTGTGATAGATCGCTTGATCGATATATTTATTTAAATAGAATGTACTAGACTGTACATATCTCTACTGATGTGTTGTGTTGCTCTAACACACGTTTATGAATATATATATTCTTTTCTTTGTGAAAGCTTTCAGTGTAATCAACAACCCTCAGACTTTTCGCTTGTCTAAATATCTATGATTATGGACCCCTCGAATAAAGAATGGAAATTACGATTGCGGCGTCGGATGTGGAGAAGATTAGTGGTCTTGGAAGTCAGTGAGCAGGTTGCTGTCAGAGGGACATTTTTTCGGGCGCTGCGGATGGTCTGGGTGATGTATATTGCTTTTGTAGGGTTGGCGTCAGTGGTTACACTGTTTGCGAGGGCTCATGATTTAAGGAAGGAAAATGAGGGGGCAGTATTGGGGGTGGAGAGGGAGACTGGGGATCGTCGGGGGCAAGATTAAGGGGTTGAGATGTAAGATGTACGAGATGGGGAGAGGTACGATAGTGAGGTGCTAGTATGACTCCATGGTAGGAGATTAGGCATTGGGAGGTGATAGGGTATCTCGAGGAAAGTTATATGAGACTCTCTGATCGAAGTTGCTATCTACAGGGATATATTTATTCTGGTTGCCATTCTTGCTCTTTATCCTCTGTTATCGCATGTTATGGCTGCACTAGGTCCCTGAATCCGGATCCGCTGAATGTTCACTCTCTGAACGCCAAATCAGGACTGTGCAAAGATACTAGTAACCGCTATCCCTCCCTCCCAGCAAATCGACAACATGACTCCCCACAAAGACATTTCTTGCTCAGCTGGCGCCAATAATTATCCGAATAGTCGACAGTGATTTCAGTTCCTGCCATAATACCCCGTGAGACCACAATTATGCGCTCCATGCCCCTCCAGTAGAACCGTTGAAATTGGCTATTCGGTCGACACGAGTGGTTGATGAACCGGGTGAAATTGCCCATCTGTTCCTGATATATTTGATATGTTCGACCACGTGAGCCACCAAGCATCACGTCTACTCCTTCTATGCCGTTTGTGATGAGGCCTGTGAATTCGCCTATGACGGTTCCGCGTTCGAAGTTCTACTTCTGCGTCAGTAAGTTGTCAAAAGAGAGGGGTGCGCTATGCTCGGGTAAAGAAAACAAATAACTCACACACCGCGCAATAACGCCATTGTTCTTCCCAGTCGACGTCCGAAATACCTGGACTGGCACCGGATGACGAACGCCACCGAATAACGCTGGAAAACACAGGCATTGATTCTTCTCCATCTCATCTGACTGCCTTGCTTTGCATATAAGACACACATCGGGATCTAGCTCCGGGACATGACGTGGATCCTGATCTCCAAATACAGCGTGATCTAGTACACACACGTCGATGAACTGGTAATGAAACCCTTGGGGAAGGTTGAGATGCGCGTATGTTGAAGCCAGAGGGACAGCTGCATCCTCAGACATGGTTACCCACTCATGCGGATGGCCGTGATATGCGATCGACGTATCTTGCCTGATAACTTGCAGCAGGTCCCGCCATCCCGGGTGAAGAGTGTCGGCCGCTACCTCGAAGCTAGATCGCAGATGCCGTAGGCGGGTAAACAATCCTTCCCCGAACTCCGTGCGATACTTGCAGAATCGATATATGCCGGTACTTGCGAATATGAGACATGCCCAGCCGCCTGTGTCCTTGATTTCTTTGTAACCGCGCCAGATAGCCCTATGTATGCATTAGTAATGCAATCAGTCGATGGGAGAGGCGAAAGCAGTACATTCGATTACGAAGATCCTTTTCCTTCCAATTGAGAACCATACAAGCCTCCTTCAGAACCATCATTCGCGCATCTGTCATTGATAGTTGGGGCTTCTCTAGTCGGATAACGGCAACGCGTGCTTCGAAACATTCTACCCAGTATGCTTGGACGATCATTTCCAGAGCACGGGAGGATTGGCTTTGGTTGTAGTATTTCAGACATAGGGTGTTGATCTCGCGAAAGACCTTCTCCTGTTAGTCAAGCTCGTGTCAATGCTCTCGGGACGGTTACCTCAAGACTGACACCGGTTCGGATGTCCGTATTGGATTGTATGATCTGAATCTGTTAGCCTTTGAAGCATACTTCCTTTCCTAACAGGATCATACCGAAGGCAGACGACTCAGCTTTACAGGCGAATGTAGCTGTCGCCATATCCCTGCTATAAGCTTATCGGCCGAGGTCGGTTCCAGAACAGGCAACGAATACTCCTGCCGTGGGTTCTTTCGTTGCGGAAAGCGGGTGTCACTGTGGACCTGTCGCACAGAAGGCTTGGATCCACTGGAATCGGCAGCGGCTGCTGAGGATAAGCTTTCGAACTCACAATCAACTGATCTGTCCGGATGAATGGTGTTCGCCTTTGCTGGTCGAAGTGCGCTTATGGTCTTGCGCCGCTTGTTGGGGTAGCTCTGAGCGTCCCCGTTATCACGGCATTTGTTGGAGTCAATGGTGGTAGTAGCATATTCTGTGCTAATCTGTAAAACTTGTTACTCGAATCATTGTACTATTGGGCACCAAGCAAGCCTACCCTAGAGTCAGGCGTTGAGACCGGAGTGGGTGGCAACGGCACTGCCTTCCCACTTCGAAGATCAATGTGTCCCTAGGCAAAGTCAGGCAAGGTCGGAATCGTCGGTGAAAATCTGATATTTACCAAGATTAACCTGCTGCCTTGCGCTGAACTCGTCTCTTTATTTACTAATGAAGCTTCAATTTTAAGGTAGAGCTGCGAGTCGCCATTTTCTTTTGAGCCACCGTCCTTACTTGCACGTTTCTGCTTCCTATCCAGACTCTGCTGGACAGCCTGTACGGCCGACTGAAGATGCGCCGGAAAGATTGGGTTCTGAAGGATGTTCGACAATTGTGAAACAAGGGGTAGTGCTATAGAGTCCATTATACCTCAACGATAGCTTATTGCTGAAAATACTGAGATCATACTATTATGAAGAGGGTCTTTACTCGGCTATCGGCTACCCCTGGCATGCCAAGAAAGGCAGATTCTGCTCGGGCAGAATTGCTGACTAATTTTCTCTCATCGCTCAACCCAATTATCCAAGTTATCCAAGATAGTTCTTTGCTCTAGCAAGGTAGACAGGACGATAGTATCTATATAGAAAGTGTGGGTTAGATAGCAGGTAACACTAGAGTCAGGTCTTGTTCTCTCCAAGGTTGCGAACAGTATGTTGTGTTGACGCATCATCCAAGGGCAGTTGACCGTCCACCCCAACATGAGAACTTTCCCTCTCGGCCCTACAAAATCGGCTAGATCGGTTCGGAGATGTGTGAAAGCGAAAGGGTTTTAGGTCTGGTACAAGCCCAATAATCATTAGTATAAATAAGAGACCGTCTTTTCCTACCGTCCCTGTCCTATACATGACAATAATCAAACCACCATGCCCGACACTAAGTACCTCAGTAGGCAGAGTCCATATACTTACTCTTATGACAACCGGACAGGATGGAGACGCTTTCGTGTCCTGAATCCATGCAGAGGCATGTATCATGATGTGCGTCGGCGACTACCCTACTACTGGAGTGACGTCCGAGATGCGTTCACTTATCGAACCGTCGCAAGTACGATTCGCATATACTTCATTAAGTAGGTCCTAGGTCCTTGACTACACCACTTTGGTATTGTTTTCTCTAACGTACTCAGTATTCTCCCTGCTATCGCCTACACATTGGATATGTATCGCCGAACCGGAGAGTTCTACGGCATCAATGAAGCGCTGTTTTCCTCGGCACTCGCAGCTATGGTGTTCAGCGTCCTGGGCGCACAACCACTTACTATTGTCGGTATCACTGGACTAATATCGCTGTTCAACTACACCATATATGATATTGTAGTCATATACGAGCCCTCCATATACGCTAACTTCATGTGCTGGACTGCTATCTGGGCGGCGATCTTCCATTGGATTGTTGCTGTGTGCAACCTCTGCGACTATATGCGCTATGTGACCGACTTTTCATCTGAGTCATTTGGTGCATATGTTGGGATTATCTATTGCAGTAAGTCTGATGGAGAGTATTTTCTTGCAGGGATTAGTACTAAACCGAGCAGTAAAGGGCGTCGAAGAGCTCGTTAACGAGTTCACTGTCTACGGGCCAACCGCAGGCTTCATGAGTTGCATGATTGCTATTCTGTACTTCTTCACAATATACGGACTTGAGTTGCTGGGCTCAAGCACAATCTGCCGACCATGGTTTCGTGGACTACTGGCTGATTATGCTTATGTGGTAAGATTTACTCCTTATTCATTTCTGACGACCTTACACTCACTCTCAACCAGATTGGAACCATCTTCTGGGTAGGATTCGCACATATCCCTGGCAACCTCAAGGAGACCGGTATCTCATTCGTGCCCATAACTCGGGCATTCTATCCTACACAGCCGCGTGGTTGGCTGATTCATTTCTGGGAGTTGGAGACAAAATGGATATTTGCAGCCCTACCTTTCGGATTCTTGGTCATGCTGCTCTTCTATTATGACCATGTAAGTCAATCAATCCCCAGTAAACATGACATTTACTTCCCCGATTTATGATACCAACCCGAAACAGAATGTCAGCAGCCTCGGTGCTCAAAGCAGACAATACCCCTTAAAGAAACCAGCCGGCTTCCATTGGGACTTCTTCCTCTTAGGCTGCACCACCTTCATCGCCGGAATCACCGGCATCCCAATGCCGAACGGCCTCGTCCCACAGGTACAACCCCAACTCACTTTTCCCCCACGTACACAAACCCGATACTAAACAATCTACCAATCCAGGCCCCCGTCCACACCACCTCCCTAACTGTCACCGAAACAACCCTCCACATCATCCCCACCTCCGACCCGGACGACCCCGAGGGTACTGAACTCCGCCACCCCATCACTACCCCCACAGTCGTAATCGAGCAACGCATCTCCCACTTCCTCATGGGGTTGGCCATAATCGGCACCATGACAGGTCCCCTCCTGATAGTCCTACACACCATGCCGGCCGCCGTGTTCGCGGGTGTCTTCTTCATAGTAGGCTGGGGCTCCATTGAATCAAACGGCATGCTGCAGAAGATCATCTTTCTACTTCGGGAGGATCGGTTCATCCCGCGGAATAAGAGATTACCCCGTGTTCCGAAGCGGAAGATTGTACTTTACGTGATGTGCCAGGTTGTGGGGGTCGCTACGTGCGTGGCTATCTCTCAGACTATTGCGGCCATAGGGTTCCCAATTCTGATTATAGGGTTGATTCCGTTCCGGGTGTGGGTTATGCCGAGGTGGTTTGGAGCAGAAGAGTTGGGGGTGTTGGATGGGTTGACGGCGGATGGGGAGGCGGTTTTGTGCAGTTTGGGGGGTCCACCTAGGTTTCCTGGGGAGGTGGGGAGGGGTCTTTAGGGCGAGAGAAGAAGAATGGAGGGCGAGGGGGAGTTGCTTCGCTAGAGGAGTGGGAAATAGTTGAAGTCTCCTATAGCGATGGCCGAGAGAGAAGGTGAATACTTCCCAATCGTATTCTCGAGGATTCTAGCAGGGTGGCAAACCGAGACGTATGGTTGAAATTTGATTACTTCTGCTTGATACCAATACTTATTTCGAATTGAGGCTAGCAGTCTGACTTTCTGTCTCACGCCTACTCTCTGCCAAATAGCATCTGAGAGCATGTTGCCAATAAGTTAGGAACATAGTGGATGACTACCCCAGCCTTCCTCTCAAGATGCCCTCCGCCAAGATGAAAAATTTGCTCAAGGCCCCGTGGACAGTGTCGTAATTATATATCTCGAGTCTCGGTATCACAACCTTGGCATAAGGGGAGTAGAGTTTACTACCATTAGTCATCTGTGCTAATACGCCTCGTCAGCTGATAGTATATGTAGATCTGGTACATTAACTGAATACAACAATATAGCGCTCTGTCAACAGAGTTTCTTCCCGTGTCCGGCGGCCAGATATCGCAACGCATGCATGCAGTGACTGATTTGTGGTGACTTTGGCATGTAATCATCTATACAAGCTGCTGAATTGCCCAGCCAGATAACACTTGGCATACTAGTAACAATAAACCCCATGTTATGCTATCTCCATTGGTGTATGTACACATATCTAGTCATATCATACAAGCCTGCTCACCTCAATATCAGTTTCAATGCGGACCGCGCCGAGTGGGATATCCATGTTCCGGCGATGCCCGTACTCACTCGGGCTGACTTGAACATCTGAAACGAGCTTGTCGACACTGCCGCAGCCTGCATGTCCCTTTTGCCACGAGACAGTGTCTTTCCGCCCACCGAGATGCGAGCCCATATTGCTAGGGGACTTTCTACTCCCTTGATTGCTACCCAAGCTAACCTTTGAATCTGGAGTATTCCGCAGCGCCTTCACCAAGGCAATACAGTTAGGCACGCTAATGGAGATAATGGAGATTGATCCCTCAAGTACGGACCAATAGCAGTATTTGACAAAGAGCCAGGTGAAGTCCTGGTTCATGATGGGTATGACTTGGACGACAGCGACGAGGCGGCCAAGGGATAGCACAACGACCGAGTAAGCCATCATGAAGGCAGTCAGGAGGTATACGCGTCGCTTTAGACTGACTTGCAGACCCCATATCATGGGGATTGGTAGGCACAAGATGTACAGGTCGATCGTAGACGAAAGGGCGGCCGTTGAGATATACCATTGGAATTGGGCGATGCATGTTCCTGGTATGGTAGTGTTCCAGACCTTTGGGATGGGGTGGCATTCAAGAATGGTAGTGATCCAGGCTGCTAAGAGCCATCCAGATGTGAGCCCACCCACGATCCAGAGGTGTATGCGAAAGGCGCGGTTGTTGGATCGAAATACGCGTGCGTAGAAAAACAAGGCCGAAATCTTTGGCACACAGACTGAGCCGTCGAAGAAAAACGTTGCCACGTATAGGTAGCGGGCGCCGGTCATGATATATTCTGGGTTTATTTCGGCAACTACATCCATATGATAGCCGAGACCGATTTGCCTCCACGCCAGCACGAGGGAGAGAACGATTAACTCGAGCGGCTGAGTCAAATGACAATGCAGTCAGAAACGTATGTTACTTTGTCAGTGTATAGAAGCACGCATACCAATGCGAGGATGGCGAAGAAGTCATCCCACCACCAGTCTTGATGGGCAACAAATTTACTGATAACCCGAAGCAATGTGAACACCGTGATGAGGACAATAAGAAGAATGGTTGTAATGAAAATCCCTTCTCCGCAGTCGGGGGTACCAAATGGGATGTCAAGCGCCATGAGGGACACAGTCAAAGCAACTTAAGGCGAATACTGTGACCTTTGCAACCAGGAAGAGCAAGAACAAAGGAAGACGCCGTATGGGAATTGGTAAATAACATACGACTGTAGGACCTGTCCGTGTCATCATTGACGGGGAGCGGAGCGAACGAAGTTGGTGGCGGCTCAGCCTTGTGCCCGCTGTCAGTTTCCATTGTCAGCGTCAGGGCATCCTGGCCTCGTTGGGAATCCAACATGCTGACTGCAGTAGGGAGTATGAAAGGCCGCATTCAATCACAAGGCAATCAAGCCAAGAAAAGAGGGAAAGAAAGGAAAATTGACGCTAAGTGGCTGAGTGAAGAGGCCCTAAGGCATCAAGTAAGCACTAAAAGAACAGGGATCAATAGGAGTCAGAGTAGTGTTTGTGAAGCTTTACGACGATCCCCATGGTTAACCCTTGTTTGTACTGCATGTCACAGCGCCCCCCGCCCCTTTGTCTCCAATAGCTCGCGTTCACTTCTGAGGGGGCGGTACTCTTAAAAAGGGCGGCCGGAGGGGTTCATTTCCACTCACTGTACTATCGCTGCAGTCATATCCCCTCAAAATTTTATCTCCCCTTTCTCGTCGACAATCTACCGCAGGTATGGCCTGGTCACAAGTGTCAGCCCATCGCTGGGAGCGCCCTGGAGATGGCCTTGAAAATTATTTTGCCTTGATCGCATCTCTTTCTGCCGCTGCCTGCAATGGCAGGCGTCATTACACCATTTTCACCAAACTCCAGCTTGAGTTGGACATGCCGGTGACTGAGGTGGAAGCATCGTTGAAGAAGGCCTGGACGCAGCTGCGGTATGAACAGCCCCAGATAGCTACAGTCCACAACGACACAACCAAAGTCTATGAGGTGCCCGACGAGACAGCCTTGCAGGCTTGGGTTGCCTCGACCGTGATCACATCTGCAGCGGCCAACGCAGAGGACTTGTACGCCACTATCACGCCTATCACGCAGGCTACTCTGTACTACCTACCTGCCTCCTCCCAATTGGTCCTACGTACCCCGCACGAGACGATCGATGGCATTGGAGTCATTCGGTTGTTGGACCGTCTGCTAAGCATCCTAGTGTCTTCACCCACGGAGAATATCACGTTTGGCGATGAACCCTCCCGGTTGGCGCCTACCCTTCGTGAAATCCTCGGGGTGGCTGCGCAACCGACCCCTGAGGAGTTGGAAAGAGTAATGGCGCTCTATAAGCCTTACATGGACCACGCTCCTGGCATCGGGCCTGTCTCTAACCTCGGCAATCGTCCGGCCGGCCAGTCACAGCATGCGAGGCTGGATATACCCACGCGTACCACCGAGGCCATCATCCAGGCCTGCAAAGCGAGAGGCATCACTGTTACTTCCGCGGTCCACGCAGCCTACATTCAGACGATTAAGAAGCATGCCGATCCTGACCATCCATCGTGCCATTACGTCAATACTGCGCAGTTCAATCTCCGCCCCTACCTGCCAAAACATAAGGCGCAGTACACTGCCTCGCTTGGTTACACCTTGTTTCCAGTGCACCTGGATTCTCCAAATTCATTCGACCAAATGGCGCAAGCTCTTAACCGCTTTTACCGGACGACGTTCGCCAATGATCCCAGTAAGCTGCCCTTGGTGCCGCATATGACGGACATTCTGTTTGCTGTCACCCAAAATCCGGAGTATCAGAAGGGGCCAGTCCCTAGAGACGCAATTCCTAGCAGCCTGGGAATAATTGAGAATTACATGCAACGGTCCTACGGAACCAACAGAGTGATCATTCGGGATTTCATGCTCGGAGTCGATGTTGTGATGGGTATGAATATGTTGCTTATGTCCACCTTCCGGGACCAACTGCAGCTAGTGTACAGCTTCAATGACGCGTACCACGAGCCCGAACATATCATGCAGTACCTGCAGGGAATTGTGGAAGTTCTTACGGAGGAGCTATTGGCAAACTGAGGCAGAGAAAGCGAATCCCCCTCTTGCACTTGTCACATGTAGATCTTATTAGTCTATCAATAGGAAATAGCAGAAATTATCGGTCCTTCTGAAGCGTCCTCCCAAACAAGTGCGTGTATAGTAGACTTTCTTGTTTGCCCAACCGAGTAAGCAAAGTGACGGTCAAGATGTGTACCTCACAGAATAGCCTTGCTAACGATCGTTCGACTCTGCATCTTGTGCTGGCATACTCCTTCCTATTAAAGTAAAGATGTGCAGATTACTGTGTACTGGCGTGGCCACGGACTCACACAGTAGGCTTTCAAACAATACAATACACTACCCTCCATTTGCCTTCCACTGAAGATCTATGATATGCACCCCTCAGTAGGATCCTGTAGTAAACATGTCCGTGCAAGAAACCCACTCGGATGCAGCGTTACTCGTAATTCAAAGGTTTGATTGAATTAAGGCTGTAGTTCTCACGTCCCACCCCGTCGCGCTTTGTCGGCGATTGCCTTGAGTGAGGGCACATTCATGACTACCAGTGTCTCCAGTCTATATTTAGCAGTGTTCAAATGTAAGAGGGCGCGTTCACAAGGTCGGGATGAAGAATAGTCGGAGAGTATCAGATCGCGCAGGAACTGACAAAACACTTCAGTCATAGTCAGAGAAACCTTGACACTGAATAGGCTGCTTTGTGTGACTTGGAAATATATACACCGTTTTTTAAAAGCTCTCTACGAACCTCCTAAAACACCCGAGTAATGTTTGATAACGGTATTGTTTGATCGTAATTGACATGCAGAATTGATCACATGCCAAAGATCATTTATATCACAGCACGCTAAGTAATTCCTAAACCCGCCACAACCGGGACCCCGAAGTAAGACTGGCAGATCACTCAATGGCGATACCACATAATCATGTGCATCTTCCTCCGACCGCTGCATCCGAGCGCCCTATCGCTAGCAATACATTTGTATCTACCTCAACATATCGAGCTAGGAAAAGCTGCCCCAAACCATGGTAGTACCAAAATACTTGGACTATAGCTACATCACCTTTCAGTCTTCTGAATGAGTTCAGTCTTCGTCAATTATATAGGGAAAGTACGTTGGTGGATGGGATGAATGACAGGTAGGGCACGGCCAGGAAGGAACCCAAGCTAGAGATCATGAAACAGGAGTTGGGATAAGCATGACATACAGTGGGGGCTGAAGAAGGAGGAGGCGGGCGCGGGTGCTGCCGCGTCTAGACTGTACTAGAATCTCATGTTCTGTCGCACTACTGCCGGTGGTCTAAAGCAGTAATTGATTACCGCATTTCGGACTTCATAGTCCGTACTGGTATGTATGCAGTACTGACCTGATTGCGCCACCCCAGTGGATCTCCAGCTTTTCAGAAAGCGCCCACTCAGTAACATTTGGAATCCACAGCTGTGTCCCTTGCACTAACAACTCGGCTAGATGGTTCACGGTGGGCAGGCCATTTCTAGCTCCGAGCCGCCTTCTCCGGATGTCCCAGAAATCAATGCTGAGCCTCCTAGACGTAGTGCTGCACTGTTTAATTGTTACTCTTACCTTGCGAACCGGAGTAACGGTGATGTATGTATAACTCAAGCCGAATGTGCCTAGGAACGACCCCGGAAGTGTGGTCCTTATAGCAGTATTTAATCTCCTTAAGCCTCCCTTCGAAAGCGGCATATAGTGTGTAGAACGTCACAGAATCTTGACTATAACTATGCAATTACCAGACGCCGAGACAGTTCCAGGACTGCTGGTTGCTCCTGCCACTGCGCGGCAAACAAGCTTGCCTATGGCCGTCGTCGGTATTGGTAAGTGTCGGCCTTATTACTTTGCCCATGCAGTCCGGCGTTTGAATAAGACTAACCTTAGAATTGTCTAGGCTGCCGGCTTCCCGGCAATATTTCCAGTCCCGCACAGCTCTGGGATTTTTTGAGAGAAGGCCGCTCTGGTGTGGGTGAGGTCCCTAAGGATCGCTTCAACATCTATAGCTATAGGGGCGGCAAGGATGAGCCGGGCACGACTCTCCCGTTGGGCGGATACTTTCTTCAGGATGACCTCCGCAGCTTCGACAACCGGTTCTTCGGCATCAATAATCGAGAAGCAGCTGTTATGGACCCTCAGCAGAGGAGGGTGCTAGAGGTAGTATTCGAGACCTTTGAGAGCGCCGGCGTAACCCTCGATGAAGTATCCGGTGCTAATGTGGGAGTTTATAGTGCGTCGCCTGCCAATTTAATGAACTGGGCTACGAGATAATCTGCTAATCATACGAACAGTGGCATCATTCACCCCAGATTACATCGCCATGCAGACGAAAGACCCAGAGAACTTGACGCGGTACAGTAACCTGGGCATGGGCGCCACTATTCTTGGAAACCGCATTAGCCATGTCTTCAATCTTAAAGGGCCGAGTTGTACGGTAGACACAGCTTGCTCGTCCTCTTTCTACGCACTTCACCTTGCTTGCAACGCATTACAGAATGGCGAGTGTGATTCAGCCATCGTGGCGGGTGTCAACCTGATTCAATCCCCTGAGTTACATGCGGCAGTGTCCCAGGGTGGGTTTCTATCGCCAACATCTTTTTGCCATACCTTTGATACTTCCGCTGATGGGTGAGTCCGGTGCCCCGACCCAATCATTACCGGTCATTCATGCCTATGACTAACACGGCACCAAAACGCTAAGGTACGCACGAGCAGACGGTGTTAGTGCTATCTACATCAAACGACTAGATGATGCTATCCGCAATCAAGATGTTATTCGGTCGATCATTCGTGGCACTGCGGTGAACAGTAATGGCCGCACACCAGGTATAGCACAACCAAGCATCGACGGCCAGGTGGCCGTAATTTGCAAGGCATATGCCCGAGCTGGGCTAGATCCCGCAGAGACAGCGTACATCGAGTGTCATGGCACTGGCACTCAAGTTGGCGATCCCATGGAGGTAGAAGCCCTATCGCGCGTTTTCCGCAAAGAGCAACGGACTTGCGCAACATTAATTGGCTCAGTCAAGCCAAACCTCGGCCACGGTGAGGTGTCTAGCGGGTTGTCTAGTCTCATCAAAGCTACCCTTGCCTTGGAGCATAGGCAGATTCCAGCGACCATTAGCGTCAAAAAGATCAACCCCAAGATCAAGACTGAGGAATGGGGCGTCGACGTCGTTACCCGCATAACCCCTTTCCCAGTATCCACCCGCCGTGTGCCAAGCCGCATCAGTGTCAACTCGTTTGGTTATGGGGGCGCGAATGCTCACGGCATCATAGAGGAAGCGGACCATAAACAAAATCAAGTCTCAATAAGAAATGGGGGAACAGCTGCGGAACGTTATAAGCAGTCTCAATCATCACAGCCGCCGTATATACTTCCCTTCTCTGCAAACTGCCCTCAATCCCTCGAGGGCCGAGTGGAACGGCTATCCAATTCAGACCTTTCGTGCGTCTCAGTCAGCGACCTTGCTTATACCCTAGGACAGAGAAGATCTCAGTTTGCCTGTCGTGGCTATGTGATCGCCCGACAAGAGACCTTGACACAAGACATCACAGTTGCGAACCTGCAACTTCCTTCTTCCAACCTTGAGTTAGGTAGTAGAAAGATAGCATTTGTATTCACCGGTCAGGGCGCCCAGTGGCAAGGCATGGCTCGTCAGCTATTACACTACCCAACGTTTGCCAATACAATTCGACAGCTCGACGACGAACTGAGGTCGCTTTCACGCGCCCCTGATTGGAGAATTTATGATGTCCTAATGGACGAGTCAGACAGCTGCCCCATCAACCAGGCAGTGTTCGCACAGCCGATCACCACAGCTGTTCAGATTGGCTTGGTGGTGCTGCTGCGATCTTGGTCAATCCTTGCTGGGGGAGCAATCGGACACTCCTCTGGTGAGATTGGAGCTGCATACGTGGCTGGTCTACTGTCCGCGCGCGAGGCAATCGTTCTTGCATATTACAGGGGTTACGCGGTTGCAAAACAAGCATCAGCCGCAGGCGCCATGGCAGCCGTTGGTCTGAGCTCGGATATGGCTCTGGAATTGATCATCAAGCTAGACCTCACCGACAGCGTTAAGGTGGCGTGTATCAATTCGTCATCTAATGTGACCATCAGTGGTGACCGTAGGGAAGTTGAGACTCTGGTTACCGCTGTTCAGGCAAAAGGCGCGTTTGCTCGGATACTGAAGACTGATGGGAAAGCGTACCATTCTCATCACATGGTCAGCGTAGGTGAAATCTACCAAAGCCTCCTCGATGAAGCTGCCATTTTTGCCAAAGTCCTGGTCCCTGAAACAGAAAATTCTGACGCGGAAATGTATTCGACGGCTATATGTAAACCCTTGGAGCGCCAAGCTGCTCGTACTACGTGGTACTGGAGATTTAACCTAGAGTCCCCTGTGAGGTTCTCCGAAGGTCTGAAGGGGCTGTCAGAGTTGATAGATCCCGACTTGTGGCTCGAAATTGGACCGCACACGGCCCTGAAACTCCCCATCACGCAAACGCTCGGACAGTTGACACCTTACCACGGCACATTAGAGCGAGGTCAAGATGGATCAGTGACACTACTCAGCTTCCTCGGATATCTTTTCGTTCATGGCTTCAGTCTGGATTTCACGAAGTTACTGCGCAGTTACCCCGACGGATCGCCAGCTAGATTCATCTACGATCTCCCAACTTACGCCTGGTACTATGAGGAACCCGTCTGAAATGAATCAAGAACAAGCCAGGAGAGCCGATACCGCCAGAATCCTAGGCACGAATTGCTCGGGACAGAAGTGCCTGGAGGAAGCCCGGCATCCTTTGCGTGGCGCAACCTCTTGCACCTCGGTCATGTACCTTGGCTCCGGGACCACCGACTGGGAGATACCGCCGTATTCCCCGCCGCAGGATATATTGCCATGGCAGTGGAGGCACTGATACAAAAAGCTTTGCCCTCAGGCGCAGACCTAATTAGCAAATGCGTCATCCTTCGGCAAGTAGCCTTGCTAAAAGCCCTCTCTTTAAAAGATGAGGACTCTATTGAGCTATTTACCGAGCTTCATCCACTCTCGATTTCCAACGTTCGCGATTCGCAACATTGGTGGGAATTCCAAATTTTCACCGTGTTGGACCGAAATAGCTACACCCTTCACGCCAAGGGAATGATCCGGTTGGGTTGCAACCCCGATAATACTTCACACGCAGCCCCATCCCCTGATTGCCGACTGGCTGTCCGAACTAAACACGTTTGGTATGACATTATTTCTCGAGGCGGCCTCAAGTATGGTACGGCGTTTCAACGCATAAAAGCGGTCTATACTCCAGAAAGCAAAAAAATCTTATATGCCGAAGCTCCAACCGAGTCATTTGCCCCCGAAATCCCCACCAGCGCTCAGCCGTATCCTAGATACTTCCTGCACCCGACACTACTGGACACTGTTCTTCAGCTTGCCCTCATTGCATGCAATGGTGGCTCCCTTCATGGGCTTGTGGCCCGGGTCCCGACTCTGCTCGGAGAGGTCAGCATGAGCCTGGCCCCGTATGCTCCAGGCGAGGCTGGGATCATTCGTGCCAAGGCTTCGGTAGTCGGACTCAAAATGCACAGGGCAACCATATACTTGTTCAATCAGAAGAATCAGCCCGTGGTACAGTTTAAGGACATTGAAATGACCGCCTTCAGCGCACAAGAAGGCATGGAGGATGTCCGCCATCCTATGGGACGCGTGCACTGGAAGCCCGACATAACACAGATATCCGAAGATTCCGTCTTTTCTTCTGGTCTCGCTCATGTGCTCTCTGTGACCGATCTCGGAGCTTTTGGGTCCCGCTCCTGGCTGCTAGCTGCCCTGGACATGATTGTCCACAAGAAGCCTGATTCCAGGATTCTGTGCCTCACAACCGACCTGTCTTTTGTAACCTTGGCTTGCTTGGAGGTCCTGGAGACCTCTATAGTCTACCGGCGTTGTGAGACATTTTCATTGGGTAGAATAGGATGCAATGGAGCGCTGGAGGTTGCGGAAATCCGCAAGTATGCAGTGCCTTTAGGCCTTCGCTCTATGGCTTACCGCAAGGCCACCTCAGATAACCAGTACAACGTGTGCATTCTGGGACAGGGAAGTGACCACGCAGTGTTTGGCCACCTGAGGAAGCATACCAACGACTGCACCTTTTTTCTGGGTCCTTGCACACAATTTCCGGCCTCAGTGCCCTCATCGCACTTGCAACTAACGGATCACGATCACGGTGTATACGTTCTACGTCCCAACCCCAAATTCACCCCACAATTCAACCATGTTGTTCTGATCGGGGCTTCATCTTCGGACGCGGAGCTAGCTGGTCATTTAAGCAAAGAGTTGGACAGGCCGGTGCAGGCATTGACGCTACGCGATATTCTCTCCTCACCCATTCCGCCCCAAGCCTTGGCCGTCTCGGTGATAGAAATGCACAAATCCCTGCTGTCAGACCCAACGGCAGAGGAGTATGATGCATTCAAAGAATTGATCGAGCATGCCGCCCATATCTTCTGGATTAGCGGAAGTGGTGTTCACAACGGATTTGATCCCACACGGTCTATCTTTACCGGTCTGGCTCGGGCTCTCATCGTCGAGCAGCCCTCTACCAGGATCTTCTCTGTGGAAATTGACCCAGCAACTGAAATGTCAGTGGTTTCCCGATATGTCCGCCAAATTTTGCAGCAGAAGAATGAAGTAGACTTTGAGTACATTTGCGACAGCTCGCAGCTCCTGATCAGCCGCGTTGTGCCCGACGAGCGGTTGAACCGTGAATTCAGGAGACGACAAAACAGCATTTCCATTCCCAAGCCACTAGCTCAGGCTGACAACGCCTATTTGTTAGTGTCGGAGCCAGGCCAAGTGAACTCGGCAAGGTTCGTGCAACGGCCATTATCACCCACGCTGCCAGCCGACCACGTTCTTGTTAAGGTTGTATGTGTGGGTCTCAATGCCAAAGATGTTTATGTGATGGCCGGTCGAGTGTCGACGAAAAATGCCACCTGCAGTTCTGAGTTCACAGGGCAAATTGTGGGGTTGGGTGCCGACGTGCAATCATTCGCGGTCGGCGATCGAGTGGCAGTCATGCATAACGGCCACTTTGGCACCTACGAGCCGGTTCCTTGGTGGAGCTGTATCAGGCTAGAGGATAACGAAGACTTGGTCATCATGGCGGGCGTTCTCCTTGTGTTTTTCACAGCCGTGTACGCGCTCGAATACCGCGCACGTCTCCAGCCCGCTGAGTCGATTCTTATTCACTCTGCTGCTGGTGCTGTCGGCATTGCAACCATCCAACTCGCTCAGCATCTTGGGGCAGGCAAGATTTACGCTACCGTGGGCAACGAGGAAAAGAAGCGGTATCTGGTAGAGCAATTCGGGCTCCGTTCCGAGAACATCTTTTCCTCGCGTGATACCACGTTCGCGGAGAAGGTCAAAGTCCAAACTAGAGGCCGCGGTGTCGATGTTATTTTGAATTCCTTGGTGGGGGACCTCCTCCACGAAAGCTGGAACTGCCTAGCCGACTGGGGGCGCTTTGTCGAGATTGGTAAACGCGATATTCTCGACTGCGGTAAGCTCAACATGTCCACGTTTGCGCGCGGAACTACTTTCACGTCATTCGACCTGAACATGCTGAACGAGCTCGACACGCCCATAGCGGCTCGCCACTTGAAGTGTACAATCCTTGCGCGTGTTTTGCAGCTGGTCCGCGCCGGACACGTTCGGCCCGTTCAACCCTTGGCCGTCTTCCCCGTCTCAGAACTGAGTGCAGCCTGCAACCACTTCAACAACGCCAAGCGGATGGGTAAAATCGTAATTTCCTTTGAAGATGAGACGCAGATCGTCCCCACGGTTCCTGAGCTCTACAGCACCGTTCTCAACCCAAGCAAATCTTACCTCTTGGTCGGCTGTCTCGGCGGCCTCGGTCGAAGTCTATCACGGTGGATGATGAGCCGCGGAGCCCGTCGCTTCGTATTCCTCGGCCGCACGGGTTTAGCCAAACCAGCTGCCAGGCAAATTGTCCAGGAGCTGGAAGAGGCTGGGGCCCGCTGTACCGTCGCAACCAGCGACGTCATTGTGTATGAGGACGTCGAGCGCGCAGTAGCGGCAGCAGTTGCTGATGCGCCTCTAGGGGGAGTGATTCAGGCCGCTATGGGCCTCCACGAAGCCATCTTCAAGTACATGCCTCACGAGCACTGGCTCACAGGCACGCAAGCCAAGGTGCGCGGAACATGGAATCTTCACCAAGCCCTGGACAATCTCAAGTGCGAGTCCGCTCTGGATTTCTTCCTTCTGACCAGCTCGGTCGCTGGGCAGATTGGCACAGCTACTGAAGGCAACTATTGCGCTGCAAACCACTTTCTGGACGTTTTTGCTCGCTATCGCCGGAGTCTGGGGCTGCGCGCTATCTCCCTCGGATTGGGCGCTATATCCGAGGTCGGATACCTCCACGAGCACAGCGAAATCGGCGAGCTCCTCCTTCGCAAGGGCATCCGCCCACTCCCTGAGAATGAAGTCCTCCAAGTTATTGACTTCGCCCTCTCCTCCGAGATCGATCAGGAACAAACCGTCCCTAGGGATCGCCTCGCACAATGCCACATTCTATCTGGTATTGAAGACACCGGACTTCAAGACCACCGCAAACAAGGCTTTACAGGTTTCTGGCACAATCTAGACAACACCCGCTTCTCGGTACTCATCAACGCCCTGCAGCGTCAGGCATCCCAGTCCGAAGGCGGAATTAACACCCCTGCGTCGGTAATTCAAACTGTACTGGCGTCAGGCGACGAGAAGCAAGTACGTGAAGCGGTGAATCAGGCATTGGCGAAGAAGATGTCAAACATTATTCTATTGCCGCTACCGAAGTTGGATTTGAAGTTGCCATTGAGTGAGTATGGCATGGATAGTATGTTGTCGGCGGAGCTAAGACAATATATATTCACATCGATGGGTGTGGATGTCCCGTTTTTGACCTTGATGGATTCGGCGACGTCGGTGTTGAGCATTGCTGAGATTGTGGTGGGGGAATTGAGGAAGATTATGGGGAAGGAGGCGGAATAGAGTGATCTCGCATTTGGATATTTCATGATAGTAATTCTTCTCTCCAAAATGCGGCACCAGTCTTTAATATCGCGATTGAACTTCGAGGGTGAGAGGGCATAGTAGTGCATTCTCTCGATCGAACATATTTTCCGGAGATCACACAACCGGTGGTATTTGTTCCCGTAATAGCCGCGCTGTGGTAAGGAGCGGGGCAGAAAAAGCAATTGAAGGGTGCACGTATCTCAACGATCGTTCCTTTTTGATATGATGATATCACAGAGCGGGGGCAATGGACGACTGGCTGCTATTGATGATATGCTCCTGGTGGTAGATCGTTACTGGCCACTACTGTGGTAACTTTGCTGGCTTTTCTTTTTGACAGTTCCATTGACATTCATGTAGCCAACACTGCATTGCCATAATACCTACAAAGTAAGGCTTTTCATTCCATAACGGCACATTATCACAAAATATGGTACAACAACACCCTGCGATCCCTTATCCAAGTCTTAAAATAAGACTCTGAGATAATATGAGTGCCGGGGCCAAATTGCCAATATAATGATGAATGAGGCAGGGGCTGCTGCATTCGTAACGATTAGCCTGCGTTGCTCGGGTATTAAAAAGATCTACGGCCCATCCTATGAACATGCCTACCAGCCGGATTCATTTTTGGAATGCTTGCAAATGTATAGTACCTGTCTGTGTAACTCGTGTCCGTCTCTCGTAGAAGCCAAAATTTGACGAGCATAACTAAGTTACGAAGAGTCTCTAACCGGTTGCCTGCTGTAACTTGTCCATAGTAGTCAAGAACTTTACCAGGTGAGATTTCTTTGTCGTTTTCTATGAGGCTGATTGAATGAACTGCCTCCTAGCGAACTTTCCCTACTGAAACCATATCTCCCGTTTTTCCCGAAACTATGAGAAATTGGGGAATTCAGTTCACATTTCCAGATGTTATGATAAGCACTGTGCCTCCCTATTTTCATTTCATACCTCTTAGATGTAAACGCACGTTGAAAAAAATATTTTTGAGCTCCGAGAGAAGATCGCTTGGTGCAATACTCTCCTCATTCTCATTTTCCCCCGGAACATTTACTCATGCCACGCACTTTAGTATATGCACACTTCACCTCCCGAGCTGTTGCCACAGAGCAAAAAGTGGCGCCAATCTGGACTAGACTACGGCTGTCTCAAAAATCAATCTTGCCCGATGCGCTAATACCCGGCGTACTAGATCGGAAAAGGAAGGCGACTTAAGTCTGGTAAAATTACACCGTAAGAACTTTTAGATACTAAATGTCCAAAATTTTTTGAAAGTGCAGATGTCTAGTTAGTAGATAGGAATCCCTCAGTCCTATGTAGGGTCGTAGTAATCCCCTCATAATGGCTCCTTCTCTTGCACAGGATGACATCCAACCTTCCAATCTTCCTAGCAATTTCCAGACGTCGATCCCCCGTTATCTCTTTCGCATCAGATGAGTATCTGTTTTCAACGAAGCCTTCCTTCCGATAACAATAAATAGCGGTCTATCCAGTCAATCTGACAGCCAACGTAAATTGAACTGCAATTAGCTGGGCTTGCCGGCATGACAGGGCAGTATGTGATAGCTCTTATCCCGTGCATGCATGGGTACCCCTCTCCGATTAATCAAACACCCGTCAGGTGTCCGCACTCACATGGCGCCATTGACATCTAAAAGCAAGACATTTAATCATCCTTCACTCGTCTCGGGACATCATTGGTCGCAATGGTGGATAAGATACATTTAGTTACATAACTAGATATTCACGATGGTCCGATAAGGGTCCGTTCAAGTGAAGCGTTGCTAGTTCCCGTGCCCTAATATGATTTGGATGCCGAAAGGATGCAACCCCATCGGAGTGTATACGGAGTTGCGTCGGAGGCTTTCGAACATAAAGAGGAAGCTGGCGGTATGTGTTGGTCACCAGTACTCTGGCACTGAAGGGGAGTACAGACGTGACAGGCAGTCAGTATGAAGTTCTTCTCGACACTTTGCAGTGTGACCCTCGCGGTTTCTGCACTAGCCTTGCCAACCTCCGATCATGTCATTCATGAGAGGCGATCTGGTACACCATCGAAATGGGAGAAGATTGGGCGGGTCAATGGCACTGAGCATGTCTTGGTGCGCATCGGTCTGACGCAGAGCAATCTTGATCGCGCGTATGAGTATCTCATGAGCGTGTATGTTGATTCCCTGCCTTCTGAAATATTCCGACTAACTAGTCAGGTCCGACTCTGTGTCGCCTAACTACGGCAAATTCTGGACTCAAGAAGAGGTACACAGCGCCTTTGCACCGTCAAATGAGACTGTTGACGCAGTGCGAAACTGGCTTATTGAATCCGGTGTGGACCAGTCTCGTTTAATCCACACCCAAAACAAAGGTTGGATTGTGTTTGATGCAACTACCAAAGAGGCGGAAAGCCTCCTACACACCAAGTATTACCACTACACCGACAAGGTCTCCGGTTTCAAAACCCTAGCAGCAGAAGAGTATGAATCCCGCTTAAGTACCCAAGACGTATCGTATAATAACAGACAATCAGGTACCGCGTCCCGCAGAAGATCCAACAACACATTGACTTTGTTAAGCCTGGTGTTCTTCTACCATTAACCTCCAAGGGACCATCTGCCAAGCACACTAAAAAGTACAAGCCCTTGAAGCAGACATCAGTTAACGCGACGTCTCTCAGCACTTGCGACGAGGTTATTACACCCGCTTGTGTTGCCGCTCTGTACAAAATTCCTCATTCAAGCGGCAACGTCAGCGCCAGCAACTCGCTCGGAATCTTCGAAGAAGGAGACTACTACGCCCAGGAAGATCTTGATCTCTTTTTCCGCAACTTCACCCCGTACATTCCCAGAGGGACACACCCTAAGCCGGCATTCATCGATGGAGCGTCGGCGCCCGTTCCTGTCGCAGATGCTGGTGCGGAGTCAGATCTGGACTTTCAGCTCGCATATCCGATTGTTTATCCTCAGACCATCACGCTTTATCAGACGGACGACTATAACTATGCCAGTGGGGAGATTGAAACGGATGGATTCTTCAATACGTTCCTTGATGCGGTTGATGGGGTAAGTTGGCTCACTAGGTGTTTGGAATTGAGCTAATGAATTAGTCGTACTGCACCTACTGTGCCTATGGAGAATGCGGAGACAGCCCGACCCTCGATCCAACCTATCCGGATAATTCAACCGGTGGTTACAAGGGACAGTTGATGTGTGGTGTCTACAAGCCCACGAACGTCATCTCCGTCTCTTACGGTGGCCAGGAGGCGGACCTCCCTGCTTACTATCAGCAGAGGCAATGCAACGAGTATAACTCAATCACCTCTGCTTATACATACTTAGGCTGACACCAATAATAGATTCTTGAAACTCGGGCTCCAAGGAACTTCCATCCTCTTCGCATCTGGCGATGACGGTGTTGCAGGTCCCCCAGGCGATGACTCGACCAACGGCTGTCTCGGAAACGGAACCATCTTCAGTCCCGCGTTCCCTAACTCGTATGCACACTTCTCCTTTATTTGAAAGCTATGTTTAATGTTACTAGTTGCCCCTACGTGACCAACGTCGGCGCCACGAAGCTTTACCCCGGAAAGACCATCGCGGATGGGGAAAGCGCTGTCGTCGACCCGGTCGGCCACCCTTACTCGATCGCATACTCCTCCGGCGGTGGCTTCAGCAATATCTACACTATTCCAGACTACCAAGCCGAAGCAGTCGCTGAGTACGTCCTTCCGACTTAAAATTTGCTCCAGTCTAACAAAGATCAGGTACTTCGAAAACCACAACCCACCCTACCCCTACTACGAAGGCAATGCCAGCTTCGGCAAAAACGGCGGAATTTACAACCGCCTGGGACGCGGGTACCCCGACGTCGCAGCAAACGGCGACAACATCGCCGAATACAATGCGGGAGAATTCATCCTCGAGGGTGGAACGAGTGCTAGTGCGTTGCTACCCTACCCCATTCACATCCACCAATCTCCGTCCTAATCCAACTACTAATGACAATGATACGAAGGCACTCCGATCTTCTCCTCTGTAATTAACCGCATTATCGAGAAGCGTATCGCGGCAGGAAAGGGCCCACTGGGCTTCCTCAACCCGGTTCTGTACCGAAATGCGTGGGCATTGAACGATATCACGAATGGGTCGAACCCGGGCTGTGGGACGGAAGGATTCTATACTGCTCCTGGGTATGAAGTTCCCTTCCTTTCTTTATCATCATGCTTCAATATATGAACAATATGCTAACAGTCGGTGAAAAAAAGATGGGACCCCGTCAGCGGCCTCGGAACGCCTAACTTCCCGAAATTGCTGGACGTGTTCCTGAACCTACCGTAACGGGGGATTTGACCGTGTTCGGAGGAAAGAAAGTGAGGCAAGATTGATAGCTGATTAGCAATGTGAGACATCTCTTCAAGGAACCCCGCAGTGATATTGGTCACATCCCGTGCATCCTGCAGACGGCTGCTTATCGTGTCACCGGGGTTCCGACGCAGGTCCGCCGGGGATGTTCGTGCCAAGATTGCTGATCCTGATCTTGATGCTTACATTTCTTATCGGGAATTATATTGGCATGGACCAACTATTTGTCGTTTTCGGATATTTAGAAAGCAGAGAGTACTTTGTATATCGCTCATTTGATGCTATATTGGGAAGGGACTGGCTGGGGTTGGGTTTGTGTTGATCAGGGGTTCTAACCAAGTAGAACAACCTCCCAGTAGAACCCTTCTTCACATAGAAACAGGTATGAATATACAAAATGTGAATCATTAGTCAATGAAGACTTTTCGGGACACCACTTCTACGCCGAAAGTTTGCAATGCACGTCGCAGATTCCTCACATAAGTATATTACTACTAGTGCCAGCTAGATTGTCGAATTTCAACTGCATAGAATGACTAACTTCCATGAAAGGACAGAGAGTTACGTAACATTGGTAGTTGAGCACACGATTACAATGTCGAGTACTTCCCTCTGACTACATGAAATATGCAACTGTGTCACAGGTGCGTTAGTAGTCTCCATAAAACGTGGGGTTTGCACGGTACAGTGGATGGTGGGAGAGCATGTTCCGAAAAGAAGAATGCAGGAGTATGAAAAATTCGAAGATCAGACCCTCTAAAGACACTCTTCCTACGTTGGCGTCACTCAATCAATAGTAGGGCATATGCTTGAAGGGAATATCGGTCGTCAACTTAATCCATGGTTATGACCCAAATAAGCAAGTGGGTCGCCCCTTCAGCGAGTGAGTGTCGCGCATCCGAGCAGGAAAAGTGGAGATGAAAAATTCCACGACATCGATCTGGCCGTGCTTAACACATCCATTTTCATACTTACTAGTAATTATCAACTCTCGGAATATACAAAATGTCTGCTTCGGTTAGTACCTGCTATTTTTAGGTGTATTACTCCTTGTCATAGACTCATCCTGATTATGTAGGAATCCACGGGAACGCAGGGCTTTTACGATGAGCTGAAGGCTCTCTTCCAGCAGGCGGTAAGTCGTACCTAAAATAATTTGGGTTATTAGATACTAACACCGAATTTAGGATAAATCCGGCGAAGGTAAATACCATGTACAACATGCCCACTAGTGGCTTCTCGATACTAATAGTGCATGTATCTGAATAGGAAAGCTCGCTCTTCCCGAGTTCAAGAACGCCGTGAAAGGCAGCAGCAGCGGCAGCCAACTGAACGATATGCAGTTGGAGGCAATGTTCAACTTCTATGATGAAGACAAGACTGGATTTGTCTCTTTTGAGAGTATGCGAAGTTCACATTTTCCCTTTACTTCTTTTTGGTATCATGTCTGGGCTAATGCGAAGTCGCGTAGGTGTGTGGAAGAAGATGAACAGTATGATGAAATGAGGGCCGCATTTGATGTATGGCAATTGTACGTGAGTTAAAGAGGTTATCTCTACGCCCTAAGGAATTCTACGGTGGTTTCTAGCAATGATATATAGAATGATCAAGTACTGCATGGTAAAGCCTGCGTAAATCGTGTTGGGCCGTACCGCGCTGGATCTAAAGTCATGGTAGATATTATTATGATTATATATGGTCTCTGGGCTGCTAAACAGTCTAAGAATTGCTCCTGTTTTTGTGTCATGGAAGTCTGTCATGGAAGTCGTCATGATGCCTTCAAGACTCTACGAATTTGGGCGCTGATTTGACTTTTAGATGTCACTATGAACATGACTTTACCATTTCTCCTTTAGTCCGCACTATAGCCCACATTACCCAATACAACTCTCTTAACATCTTTATCAATCAGTAATATCAGCCAACATCCAATATGAACGCTGCACCGTTTGGTTATTTTATCTTTTTTGCCTCCGTAATACGCTTACTCATCTGGGAGAAGCTTGTTCAGGAGGGCTCCCTTGCGATCCTTCGAACCAGTCAGGCAATCTATCATGATATAGCCGACCGTCTTTACAATACATTTGACATTCATCTTTCCTCAACCTTCGAAGATCCGTGGATCGAGATTCGCTGTAAACTACTACGTGTGAAGTGGGTGATCGGAAGACGAGATCATAACAAATTCAGTAATCTGCCAAGGGTACCGTACGATAAAGTTAAACTTGTTGTTCACATATATGCGCCTGACCCTGACGACTGCGGCCAATTCATCTTGCTCTGGGAGAAAATATCGAAACTAACTCAAATGCTGTGCACTATCGACGATTCGAGAAAATACCGTGATCGAGGAAACCCACACTACGAATATTGAAGTGAACCGATGTACGAGGGATCATATCAATCTGGATCTACTCCAGAGGCTGTTATATCTATGGTGATTCGCCTGCGCAAGCATAATGGCGTTGACTGGATCAGGAACGGCCAAGTTAGCTCGACCTTTTGCAATAACGGACTTGGATACGACTTCAACGAAGTTTTATTGCCGTTTTGTCGTCTATCCCGCGTTAGAAGGTTTGGGATCATTTCAGACACAGAAGAAATGGCTGTAGCAGCCGACTGGGCGTTTGCCAACTATGCAACCCGTTTATCGTGACAGAAGGTTTTGTCACCTTTAACAACGCGGTCTACAGTCAAGATCCCGGATACGGTGATATAGCCCGTACCTTCGATGGTATAGCAGGCCTGCTGAACCACAGAGACGACTTTTTCACTCCTTGGGTGGATTATCGGTTCCTTCAGGTTCCCGGGCGTACTCTAACACTCATGCGCCGTGAGCAGCAGATTTACCTTGTCGACACAATGATGCATAGGGCATGAAGCCCAGGGAAGAATCACTGCGCCATATGGGGCCCATATTCCTGCTTCGCAGTCTTAGGGCGACCGACTTACTGGCCAATCTCGGACTGGAGGATTTAGTCCCTTCTGGCTTCCCATGTGTACTTATCTACAACTCGATGGATTTGATTATTTAATTGTTGGACATGCGGCGTATCTCGCACTACTGCAAGGCCGACTTTGAGCTAGATATTCGACCTTTTCACGCGCACAAATATGGAACTAAGGCGGCGATATGAGCGAGAGTCATTGAATAGAGGCCCATGATTTGTTTTGAGTTTTGGGACTCCTGTTCGCACTATTAGAAACATTTAGATAGCAAGGACCCGATACGGGTCCGACTACAACTATGCTAGAGTCAATACTATTTTGCTTATAGATGATTATATGATTAGATACAGATGTTGGGAGCACACATCCTCCCGGTGATATCTGCTAGTAGTGTCTACACACATGTACATACACGGACATGGTGAGCAGTATTCTGCAAATCTGGTTATTGTGACACATAGGTGCTCTTTCCCAGTTTCGTCTCAGCGCCAGTTCTTGACATCGGACTTTCCACCCCCTCATCGCACCTTCTGTCTCATCACAATGCTACGCAGAGAAACATGTCCATTTTCGCCGCACTTCCTCGCCTACATTTCCTTCACTAACTATCTCTGCCTCAACTCACTTCATCTCCGGCTCAATCTGTTCTCGTTGGCCTCACCAGGCGGGCTGCATAATTTGCTAGCTATTTACCAGCTGTTCAGCTAGTATTTGGGCATTTCATCTCTTACATCTCGTTTGCCAATTACTGTTACTTGTACATCGTTTATCAGATGATCGATTTATCACTGTTCTCTACAAACTTCCGTGTTGTTGTTCCTGTATGTTATTCCGTTCTTCGAATTTAAGCTTCAGTCCATGCTTATACTCCGTAGCTGTCAAGTGCCGGATGTATCAGAGTTAGGACATGAACAAAGCGTCGGCATACCCCGCGGTATGGTGCTTCGACAAGTCTGAGGCCTTCACAAGGCCGCGGATATCTCACGACAATGGTTTTCGAAACGCTGGGAAGGGGGGTCGGAGATTTGTGAGGCTGCTTCCACCCTAATTCATTGCCCGCGGATAAGGGTGGGCCAGCTTCGAGACAGAATCTCCAAGTTATCGTACAATTCGTGGAAGGCCGACCCCAGCACTAAGGTCATGGCACTGAATATGGCGAGAAACAAGTCTGCCCGGGAGAATAGAATATATAGATATCTCATCAAGCCCGGAAATGGGAAGTTTGGTTTGAAAAGACTTCGCTTCCGCAAGATCATGGCGGTTTCAGCACTGCATTCGCAAGATAATGAACGTTTGCCGAGCAAGTCAAGCTCCTGGGCTGCTGCCAGTCAGCGTACATATACCTTTCAGGGCCTGCTCAGAGATCCTACCCCCTGCTCGCAGTATAGTCAGCCAATGGCTGGCAGATCGGAAGGCGAGGAGAGAGCTACGACTAAGCAAGAAAAGGAGGGAATAGGCTGGATATTGCCGTCATAAGTGGTAGGTATAGATGCACATGTCCCGCCATATAGTGTTATCTACTTCACTACTTACCCCCGACGATGAGCTTGCACCTTAGCGTGGTGCTGGGGTTCAATAGTCTCCAGTTCATGGGATGAAGCCAAGACAAGCTCGCATGTATGTATGTCCCTAGTAAGGGAGAAAATTAAGTGTGTCTTATAATTTGGAGATTTACTTCGTTGAGCAGACTTCATCCACAGAGCTGTACTAGTATTGCCGATACAGAAAAAATATCTTGGTGGTCGCCGGTTTCATTATCAGTTATCGCGTAGCTAGTCACGTCGATCAACAACCGTCGTTATGCTGAACTAATGCAGGCTATCATATTCCTGATCTCCAGACCATGTACAATCGATCATTTGCTCGGTAGTGTACCTAAATTGGATGCCTTAGATATCAGTAGGGCTAAAAGGCAACCTTGCCGCATGTCGGAATCCACGCCGAGAATGTGATCATCCTTGGTTGCCCCGTCCGAGCGTTAAGCCTTGCTTAGCCGCCAGAGCGGCCAATTATCAACAATCAGCCGATAATCCCTTGCCCGCCAGTCCAATAGAACGCCTATATCTTATCCTGCGCTGTTCGATTCCCCGCTCGCTGGCTCCCCGGGTCCTTCACGCTTATGAATGACCACTTTCGCCTGCCTGTCTGCTTCCTTATCGGTCATCTTCCCTCGTTTCCCCCCATAGGCACCCATATAATTTCATTTCTGTTTCAGTTCTACTAGAAAGCGTAACCAGTCACCATGGGTGCCAGTTATTCCAAGCCAGAACTCATTAGCCATAGCGAGGAAAAGCGCTCGCACCGCGAGTGGGTTGAAGATGCCGATACTTGCTCTCTGCCACTCTACACGAAGGAGTCAACCCAGCCTCGTACGAAAGCACCTGCTTCTATCTTAGATAGGACATATGCTGATAATCACAGCACCACCATACCATGAGCGCGAACGGACTTCCACTCTCTCCCTCCAGCATGTCCAAGACTGGAACGAGACCTTACTGGGCAATGCCAAGGCAAGTGTAGCAACCCGTCCAGCTCTCTCATTCGTAGCCAAACTAACTCTGTTCACGGATAACAACAGAACCGTCTCGCCATATCTAGTCTCGCCAGTCAGCCCTACACTGAAGTGCTAGCCAACCGCCCCGCTCTACAATCCGACCTCCACATCTTCAACATCAAAGTCCCCATCGAAGGCTCCCCGATCACGAACCAGCGATCCTCTGGCCGATGCTGGCTCTTCGCATCGACCAATGTATACCGAGTGCCGTTGATGAAGGCGTACAACCTCAAGGACTTTGAGCTGAGCCAAGCATACCTATTTTACTGGGACAAGCTGGAGAAGGCGAATTGGTTCTTCGAGCAGATTATCACCACTGCGGACGAGGACCTTTCCGGTCGTTTGGTCCAGAAACTTCTCGAAGACCCCGTCAGTGATGGCGGCCAGTGGGACATGGTCGTCAACTTGATTGAGAAGTATGGTCTCGTCCCGCATGATCTGTATCCGGATGCATACCATGCGCAGAATAGCTCCAAGATGAATTGGTTGCTCACGGCTAAGTTGCGTGAGCAGGCGCTTGTGTTGAGACGGCTGGTGCGGAGTAATGATGCTGCCGGCTTGGCGGATGCTAAGGAGCGATTCTTGAAGGAGATCCACTCGATGGTTACTCTTCTGCTGGGACCCCCTCCTAGTCCTGATGAGACGTTTGTGTGGCAGTATTATGATGCTGAAGGGAAGTCTAAAGAGATTAGACTCACTCCACGGGAGTTTGCTCGTCAAGCCACGAGCCTGGGAGCTGTAAGGAAGGGCACTGTCGCTCCTGCGCGCCTGTTCAGCTTGGTCAATGATCCGCGCAATGAATATAACCGACTGTTGACAGTGGAGAGGCTAGGAAATGTGCTGGAAGGACGACCACTCACGTATGCCAACGTCGAGATGAAAGTACGTGAACATATCATCTTCTTCGATTCCTTCTCACTAACACGCTTCTATCATAGATCCTCAAGAAAGCGGTCATCTCCATGCTCAAGGCCGGGCATCCTGTGTTCTTCGGTTGTGATGTAGGTAAATTCAGCAACAGTACGCTGGGAATTATGGATCTCGACATCATGGACCTCACACTGGGATTCAATATCTCCTTGGGAATGAGCAAAGCCCAAAGGCTGGTGAGCGGAGAATCAGCAATGACCCATGCCATGGTCATCACAGGTGTGCATATCGAAGATGGAAAGCCAGTGCGCTGGCGTGTCGAGAATTCGTGGGGCGAAGCTGCTGGCGATAAGGGCTGGTTTGTGATGACAGATCGCTGGATGGATGAATATACACTTCAGGCAGTGGTGGACTCGGACTTCGTTTCGAGTGAAGTGCGCGCAATTTTAGACCAGAGTCCGAAGGTCTTGCCCAGGTGGGACCCGATGGGCGTGTTGGCTTGAACTCGCTATTTCTAGTATTCAGTGCGGCGCAATGACAAATCATTAAATCATAATATGTTCTCATCTGTGATGGTGATATCCCGTAGGAAGCGTGGACAGGGGCAGGTAACTGATGAGAGTGACGGCTAAGTGATGAAAGCGACGGGATATTATCGAATATCCTCTCAGGCCAAACATAGTGTCTAACCAATAATATTCAGATATTCTCGTGGTACAGGACAAACAGCCTGAGCCGATTAGCGTCGGATGTACAGTTCGAGTGAATGATTGTTTTGTGAGCAGCACTTTTCCCAAACAAATTCGAGGTATCTAGGTGCATTGCAGTCAATCTATAGCACTTTAGCGCCAGTCTACTGCGTGAAGATGATATCGAGTGGATCACTTACGTCTCCCGTCTTTACTTCACATAGTATCCATCAATGCGGATTGGAATTCAAATTGTGTTGATGGCGCAGTACATAGGTGAATCCAATTATGTTGACATTTTAGATATAAAAACTCGCAAGTTCCTAGAGAATCCTCTCGGGATATTCCACTCTCTACACATCCCTTAAGAGTCTACCATGTCTCCATTACAGATTATATGAACGGAACTTTCCCATATTTGACTTCAAATTCACGGCAAACGCCATATCACAGACCAGTCCAAGTCTATAAGAGGCGCCACTATCTTATCCTCTATTGCTCCTCATTCCTTCTCTCCAATCAATACAGAGCAATACTATATACTCAAGTCATGAACTCATGAACAACCTCCCCATGCCATTGTCGGTTATTTCCAGGGCAACAATGGCGAGTAACCAAGCCTTGCAAGTCCACAACTAGTGACGCATATCTCACTTCCTCAATTGCCAGAGACACTCCCCAAGCCCTTTGCTCCGTTGAGCTGGCATCAGAGATCGAACTGGATCTGTTGTCGTGAATGACAATAATCTTCCTTCTTTCTCATGAGAAGAGCATGGTCCAGTCCCATGAGAAGAATGCAATATAATCACCATGTTGTTCGAGCTTCCTGTTGGTAGATTTCCCGGAGAATGTGTTCTCTGCTCTCCGACCAACATCTGGGAATTACATTCATTGTTGTTCACTATATTGTCAGTTATTGAAGGTCTCGGCCATGCAGAAGAAGATGCGACGTGGTTCTGCTTTCGCATGTCGATTCAATTTCCAACTGACGCGTTGCCTTTCTACTCCCATCCTAATGGGAAGTCACAAAGTGACCTTCCGGGGTCTCTTTGGGGGCCACCACTACGGCAAATCGGTTGTTGTCTAGCATCCTGAGTATGACACGAAATACAGAGAGCGGTTTGACTTTGCAGGTTCTGTGAAGTATATAACGCTAAACTATGTCGTCCGGCGTATGTTCCTACTCTGAGACCTCACAGAATACCTCCCAAGACCTACCGTCTGCTGAAGCGCTATATATCGTGTGCATTCTACACCTACACAAACACTCAGTGATGAACATGCGTGTGACGGTTATACTGACATTGAACTCGGCGTTCCTATACCGTACATCCTGAAATACAGACCACGTTTCGAGGTGCATCTTGACCCTGTGTCATTGTGGTTTGTCTTTGACGACTACAGAATTGCTTGTGTGGCCTCTGAGACCACACAGCTTATGATGTCTGGTCGCCAAAACACACAAGCTCTCGAAACATTATAAGAATTTTGCCTCTGGAATGTCCTTGCACCTGGAGATGTTCTTTGGCACCCTCCAAGATACCCCCTTTGCCAAGTACTGAAGACTCGGCTGACGACAGTGCGCTTCAAGCACAAACATGATGGCTTGAGGGGTTGCATATCCACAAACCAGATTTGTCAAACGACAACACTTGATATTTTCGAAATGGTATCTCACATCTCTTCCAAGTCAGTGTGAGCTTTATATATCACACATTCCTCGTCACACTCTGAGTTCAGTGATGTGTCAAAAGAGATCCAATTCGGGTCAATCGACATATCGTTCAAGGAACGGCACAAAAGTTCTGCGAGTCTTTCAGAATGATGGAAATATATATTATGTCAACTAAAATCGCCCCCGCTGATATTTTCCGATTCGCGATGGAAATGACTGAGCGGGCTCTACTGCAAATCTTGCCTCTGGAAGCTGAAAAGGGCTTCATCTTGTGCTTGTTTCAATACACTAGCATTTTGAATATGAGTAGGAGGATATACGGGCTATGGTATAAGTCATACATCTCATCTCTGACCTTCCTTACTCAAAAGCCGTTTCTGCTGTGCCTACTGCCGGGAAGGTGGCTGCATGCATTTGAGAGGATCAACCTATTCGTTCCTGCGCTCGTCTGAACTTTTTATTGCGGGGTCCAGCTTTTAGCACCGGAGCTATTGCATCCAGCCCCAGAAATTACCAGTTTATGTCCTGCTGCAGTATGCAAAGTGCAACTATGACTAGTGTTGGATTTTCTTCGTTCAATCCTTTCCTCGCATTCTTCGCCTTTCATTACTTCGTTCAGTCTATCTCAAGGACTTGTTCTCTTTACCCCTATGCAAGAGACACTTGCCATATACCCACAGCTGCAATC